GGGGGTGGAGGCTGCGGGCGGGCGTTGGAGAGGACGGGTCAGGGCCCGAGTAGAGCGCTGGCTGTATTTCACTCTGGCTCTTTTAACGCGATCGCCGTCCACCCTGTGCGGCTGCGGAGGGGTCCACCGGTGAATTTTTAACGCGCGGCGGTCAACGAAACGCTCACCTGTATTTGTGCTTTTGCCCGAGGCGCTGGTCAGCCTGAGGTGAACTTTATCGACTCCGAAAAAGCAGGCACTTTCGTACTTTTGCAGAGGCGTACTCATTCAATTGCTTTTATTTTGAGACACTTGAATATCCTATCATAAGACACAGGTCTCAAATCTGTATCTTCTGCTTTCATGATCCATGATCCTTTCTCTGCCGGACCTTCTTTTTGTCCTGCTGCTGTTTGGGCGGTCGCCTGTTGGGTCGGCTGTGCCGCCGAGCAGGGCTGTGCGCCGGGTGGCCTACCCGCACCTCGGCGGGCGCTCCGCTCAGACGTAAGCGGGCCGTCGGTCGTTGGCAGAGCCTGCTGAGCCCCCAGAGCCTCGTCCCCGGAGGTAGTGACCCAAGATCGCTGCCCTTTCCTCCCCGTTTCTCTCCTCCATCCCCTCTTCATCTTTTTCTGTCTCGCTCTCGAACACCCCCGTCTGACCAAAGTGCACAGACGACTCGTGGCATCTGTCGAAAGCAATGAAGTGAGAGTGAATTCCCCGAAATCTGTCATAACCGAGAAAAATAAATAATTTCGTTTTTATTTTCTCGATTTCTCTTTTCGTTGAGGGCAGCAGGTATGCCGGCACCAATAAAACATGTCTAAGTGTGTTTGGCACGTTAAGACAATTCTGTTTTCACAGTTGTTTCCATTTTATCCTTATGAGTAATTGGCAAATTTGTGCTCTGAACAATCTGCATCCTAAAAGTTCCTGTTGTGTGTTAATGTTATGCACGCGCAGCACCCCCTGCATGCTTCCTTCTGAGGAGAGTCGGGCTGGGAGAGGCGATCTTTGATGATTCATTGCCATAAGGGTGACTTTTGAATTTATGGCTGGCATTTGCATTTTTCTTATCCGAGGCCTTCCGCCACGCCTCCGTTTCCCCATCCCCTCCAGCTCCACCACCTTCCATAAGCTGTCACACATTTTCTTTCTGGTTGATTTTTTTTCCCTCTCTTTTTTTTTTCTTTTTCTTTCCTCTTTCCCTCTTTTGTTCTCTCGGTGCTGATGGGCCGCGTCAGCACAAAACGCACATTCGTGCGGTTTTAGCAAGCAGCAGGTCGTCGGGGCGGAGAAGAAAGAGAGGAATGGGGCGGGGTGGGGGCTGCGGCCAAGTTGTTTGGGGGAAAGTTGGAATGAATCGCGAAACTTGGAGTGTGTTTGATTTGATTGATTGGCTATCGTTGATTATCTCTTCGATTGGCGCGCCATGTTTGGAAACTTGGGTTGATGAGGTGATTAGCGAGCAAGTTTTAATGACGCTTTATTGCAATGGTGTGTGTTAAGACGAAACTCCAATAGATGTCCTTAAAATAGGCTGACCCCTACAAATTCTTACATTCTGAGTGCGTTCACACGTGCACCTGCCACTCCCGCCAGATGTGTGCCAGTTATTAAAACATCCCGAGTCGTTACATTAAGGGATAAATTTTCGTGCAAATAAAGAAATCAATTCAAGGGAGACCGCATATGTGGGCTACATATTGGTGAATGCGTTGAAGCGGTAGGAGTGAAGGTGTCAGGGCGAGCGGATTGTCACCGTGCGTGTGCTCCTGTGTGCGTGCGCACATTCCAAACACGGCGACCAGGACAACACATCCGCGGGGGCGTGGACTGCATGTCAAGTAGGTGGACCTGTCTGAAGCGCACGCACTCACACACGCACCCACACCTACGAGCCCACTCACACACACACACACACACACACATTTTCACATGTGCGCGTGAACATGAACGCAAACACATGCACACTATCGCGTTGAGGGCGTGGCTGCTGAAAAGCCAATAGTTTGTGCAGCTACGCCGATCCAAGTGCGGGACGAAAGGCGGGAGCGAAAGAGAATAAGAGGTGAAATGAAAGAGGAGTGCGGATCGGATGTGCAGGGGAGCAGGGGGAACGACGGGACACATAGGGAACCACGAGGAAAGGGTTTGGAACGAGGTATAGGCGCCCCTGGCCGATTGACCTGCTTGGAAGAGCGGCAGTGGCCGTAGCGTTTCTGACCACGTGACCTCATTCAGCCGCCCCCCTAACCAGTCCCCTCCACCCCCCACCCCTTTCGATGGCATAAGCGTAACTCTGACGGGCTTAGAGGCGGGAAATTTTCCCGGTTTAGCTTTGTGGAGCCGCCCCCCCCCTCGGATTTTCACGCCCCGGCGCCGTCTCCCCCGATTGCTGAGGCACACATTTGTCTCGGATGAATCCCCTATGGGTCCCACTTTGGGCCTCGGGGGCCCGGCCAGCCTGAGCGTGGGGGGCTCCGTTCTGCGTCTCACACATCTCCCATCCAAGCCGGATTAGCCTTGCGGGCTGACTCGATGCCCCCCCCCCTCTCTCTCTCTCTCTCTCTCTCTCTCTCTCTCTCTCTCTCTCTCTCTCTTCGTCTCTCACTCTGGCGGTCGCCAGCTCCCCCAGTGAACCGGAAGCCGAGCGGGTCGGTACCGGCCGGACCCTGCTGCACGCGGAGCCTCTGGCGGAGCTGGGCGGAACCATCTCGCA